CCTATGGGGTATCGGTGACGGACGTCTGCAATGCAGTTCAGGCCCTGCCTGTCATACGGGTGCTTACGGCTTCGCGCGCAGAGGGTGGCATCATTGGACTGAGCTGCGGCTTGACTGCAGTCCAACCGGACCAGGAGGATGTGTCGACCATTGAGGTATGCCGACTCTTTGCAAACATGCTCACTTACCTGAATATGACTGAGAGAAGAAGGTGGTACGGGTGAGCTGCCAGCGTGCATAAATGGCCACAAAGACCCGAATTTGAACATCGGATCTGTGTTGTGGATGCCTTAGACTCTGACATACTTGATTATTTGAATGTCACAAAAACTCGATGGCCACGAAAATTCTGAGTTGGCTTTAGGATCTCTAGCAACAATCTGTTGAATGGGTTTTGGAGTAATGGTGGATTCCATGCAAGCAGCAATTTGGGTGGGTAAAATCAATCCAAGTGGGATTAAATTCACGGCGCACGGTGAGTCTCGTAGCTCAATGGTAGGGCGTTGGCTTCGCAAAAGCCTCTCCTGCTGTGTGGGCTCGACTCCCACCGAGGCCACGAATTTTTCATAACTGGGTCAACTGAATTATTCAGAAGATCAGATGGCAAGCATAAGTAACCTTTGGCACTAGTTGATAAACGTTCACCGACTGCTAACGGAACTCAGTTGTCCCGCTCCGCGTTTGCCTTGGGCCTCATTTCTCGGGCCCTGACAGCAGCTAGTATTATAGATATATAACAGTGCTGGCAAAGACAAGGGAGACTGGAACGGCCACTGCTGGCTTATAGACCGTCGTCAGCCAGTCATACTCAGCCCCAAGTGGTGCAGCATTCAAAGCTCGAACATGCGACATTTTGATCAGCGTTTAGCACCCCAACCATTGAGCCACGAGCTCGTTGTCTTGCCGGTTTAGGTTGGCAGATACTGACACTAGATGATGAACGTTCACCGACTGCTAATGAAACTCATTTGTCTCGCTCCGCCTTTGCCTTGGGCCTCATTTCATAAGCCTTCGAGAAATCATCATCGGGTTAGTACATTCATATTGGGATGGCGTACATGTTAAAACATCTTCGTCGTTTCATACAAGTGAATCGCGACAGTAGGGGGGGGGTGTTTGGGCTCAATAAGTGAAGGATGGATACGCGGTGGGACAGGATATGGTGGTTACTGTCCTGGGGAGAAGAAAAGGGGGTAGAGAAAGGGGGAGTGCGAACGACTGCATGCAGTTAAGTGGCCGTTGGCCGTGCGAGGCACAGCGCTTGCAGGAGCTTCTTTTCTGCGCAGAAGACCGGCTTCCTCAAACTGGTAGCGTTCGCTTCTGCTGTTGCTAGAAAGCGCTGACTCATGGAAGTGTCCTTTTAAATCACCTGGAAGGTTTCGTTGGGATTCATACAATGTCCAGAATCAACTATAGGGACGAGAATGGTGCTATTTGTGCTCCTGCCCTCACCTTCTCCCACCCATACCGGGAAATGTGCCTTTATTCTTCTGGATAAGCGCCAACTCGTGCGACCAATATAATCCGCTCCATAGGAGCAAGTCGATGAGAAGATACACATAAAGGTGGTCTGAGCTGGCAACCTACCCTTACTTTCACTGTGCAAGACTGGATTGGTTGGGAATAATACCCGAACTCTCGCTGCTGGGAAGGTTCGTGACAGGGCTTTGTCAAAATTTTTCCTGGGACTTTACTTGCCGCCTCCCCTTGAAAGGGGACTTTGAGGAATAATGTCTTCTTTGCCACAGTACGTGTGGTGGGTTTTATTTGCCTCGTCACCATATTCTTCGTTATGAATCTCTCAGGATAGCCATTCTCACGAAGTAGGTCCTGGATTTTCTCAAGCTCTATCTCAATACTCTCAGCCGAGCAAATTGGTTCAGGAATCTGGATTGAACACCAAGGCACCACGGGGCAAGCATGCTTCCGCAACCTGATCGGTCAACATATCTCCTACGATTGTGAATACCCCCTAACGTAGCGGGCAGGAAAACGGACCTGTGGATAAATGACAGAACGTTGGACTTTAAGCCGATCAATGTCCAAAAAATGCGGTTTTGGAGCTCAGGCGCGGCAAACCTCGGCTTGAGTGAGACTGTCACGCTCCCTATGTTATAGTACTAAATATCTCCAAAATGTTTTTCCCATACTCACCGGTCAACGACAGTTTAAATTGGGCTTGCGGGTTAAGCATTCCTGACTAGTGGATAGGGCCGCAAGGATTGCGTTTAGCATCGGAGCTTTACTTACCACCCTTACAGGTTGCCGCGCATAGATTACTGAGCTTCACTTCCACGCAGCTTTTTATTTTCCCGTCGTAACTGTGAGAGCGCTTGGACTGTAGTTAAAGGACAAGTGAATATCTGAGGTTGGCTCCAGAGCCTGAGGCTGGGTACTTCTAAAGTTGATAGTTTTATCACACTGGACAGCAACACTAGACTCCAACAGCGTACAGATGTGTGTTCCTGTGGCTTGTAACTTTATATATGTAGCGCTGGCGTCAGGCCCGCAAGCCATTACCTGACTGCGCTCCTCCATCTGCTTCTGGGCCAGCCAATCATAGGTGCCGTCGAATGCTATTGGTCAAGCAGTTGATCAAGTGGCCAGGGACTCACTCTCGCATGATGTTTATGCATTCACGCCCATAGCACGCTCGCAGACAGACGCGCGCGCGGAGCGCCCAGACCTGCCGTGTGTCGGGGCTTCAGACCACCGCTGAGCTTCGCAAATCCCACTGGTCCTACCCGTTGTCTTCTTATACGGGACTGGACGTGGTAATTGTAATGCTTTGTGGCTTAAACACCCACATAAAAATAAGTACAGGAAAAGACGGCCAACTAGTACTTGAGAAAGGTACTCTGATAGATCCACATAGAACTTACCCGTGGGGCGGAGTAAAAGAGATATCAGATCGAACAACTCCACAGAGGTTCAACCGCTGTCCAACGGACTAATGATTCCTAACACAAGCAACTGCCAAAAGGCCAGTGTAAATAACAGAAAAAAAATCGATCAGGCCAAATCCGACCTGCTGTACAAGCTACTTGCATTTCCGTTCGATGTTGTGCATTTAGCGCTTTGACGGCAGTGAGGCGACTAGGGCCTTTGAAACGTCAGAAGTGCGACAGATCCGTTGCGATCAGCCCCATATCTTTGTTAAAAGCAAGTATAGTCTGTTTAACTCTACTTTCACCCCTAACTGAAGCAATTGTTGCGGAAGTCTCAGTCCTAATGACAGCCTCTTCAATTTCCCAAACCCAGCTAACGCTCTCCTCCACGGACGACAGAATTCGAGTCTCCGATGAAGGCAATGAGTACGCCTTCGTTCAACGGTTTGCACAAAGAGTGGCTGCTGATATCCGTCGTTCGGCATCCACCAATTTGACGTTCGGTTACTTCGAAGAAGAAAAGCAGACAGAGACTGCGGTGGTGGTCGCGGAGGGTGGCAACCACACCTTTCAGATGCCCTCTGTGGCGACCATGATGGGCGCCGATGATCAGAGCTATTACTGGCACCTCATCTTCCTCGGTGTCGTCGCAATCCACGTGGACACCGTTTTAGTCAAGGATGAAGATCTCGGTGAGTGTCACCACCAACTAACATGCCCTCATGATCTTCAGCTTACTAAAATCCCCATATAGGCTGCGACTGCATACAAAGCTAAAATTTCCTACATGCACGTACATGCCACTTACCGGTTTTAGCAACTATGATTACTATAACTAGCACTTCTAGCAGTACCTCCAACAGTCGTATCTTAATCCTAGTAGTGTAAACTTTAGGAGACAACAAGGGCAAACACTGACGTGCTCCGAGCTTCAAACAACTACTCTACTGGGGATAGCAAAAATCCAGGTTCCACTCCTATGTGAGATCAAGGGAGCACGGGCCTAAACTGGACTCCAATCAGTATTTCTGACCAAATATTGGCGTCAGTTATAGTACTAACGCTAAAATCATTCAGATACACCGCTAGAGGCAGCAGCAGTATAAACGCTAGCTGCAGTAGTAGAAATGCGAGACTCGGGCTCCTCGAATCTTTTCGGGCACCTACTATGGGTGAGTGAAGGTAGATAGTGCAGCAGTGCCAGCACAAAAGGCTGCTGTCACTTAAAACTAAGTTAAGGTAGGAAATTTTTCTGGTTGCATCTGGCTAATGCGGCTTGCGCCCGATTCCTGCTCGGTCATCTCGACTTTTTACTGTCACCGATTAAAACAGAAACGGATTTAGAGTGGGGTAGATGGCGGCGCGTCTACTTTCACTATACCTGACTGCAGTCACCGTCCCCGCTCTCAGGTATATGGTGGACATCACCGATTGCTGTAGTCGAAATAACATGCATAACAGGTCTTACAGGGCAGTAGTGCACTGCAGGACTCTTTATGTCGTAGCTTGTACAGGCTGGGTGAAATTAATGACATCACCTGATTCCTACAAGATTTCAACAGCTGTGAGTGTCTAATGAAAAAAATATACATTCGAGATGTTGCTAGATAATGGTGCTCTTTCAGCCTCCTCACCTTCAGAAAATCAATAGTGCACTCGGAGGTTCCTCGAGAAAACGTAAACTAACAGTAGTCAGGCCTTTGGAAATATAGCTTGGTAAGCCTTCTTAAGATCCTCGATATGACAGCTCGCCCGCCTATTCCGAATATTTGCATAGCAGCCCTACAGAATGATGAGCGCGGGGACGGTGATGTGACGGTGACTGCCACTCTAATCACACTCATTTCGCTCATTCACCTAGGCCCAGTGTCCAGAAAGTATCAAAAAGACCGGAGATGACGAAGTAGATCTTACTCGAGAGGTTATTAAAGAACCCGTAGCGGCCAGGGTAGTGTTTGTACCTTCTGCATAACAATCACCAATTCAAGTCATCGGCGGCAAGATAAAAAGAATTTTACTTTTGACAAGTACCCTATGTCAGTGGTCCGCCAAGCTGAATGTTGACGTCGTTAAGGTTATGAGGGAGAGAGAAGAGGGGGCTGTGATATCCGTTCAAGTGTTTGTATCTCTTGTTGCATCACTTGAGGGATGACGAAGGAAAGTGAGTAATCTTGGCACAGCGGAGCGTCGAACAAAGAAGCTGTAACACTACTCCTATTCCACCTTTGATTGGAAAATACACTTGTAAGCTCTTATGGTAGAAAATACTTATATGCATCCCCCCTCCTAAAGCAGGACGGGAGAACGGGAACCGCCAGTAGGCTGTTGTTTTGCGCTAACTTCCAAGAAAATGGGGGTTGGATTAAATTCAAGATTATTCCCTTCCGTCCCACATAAGCATAACATAATCCATAGATAAAAATTGGGTTCTCAATCTGTCTAAGGTACTTATGATTCGAATATGATATATGAGCAAAATTGCGCCCTTCAGGACCTGTGCACTCACATCAGCATTTAGCAGTGTTCGTGCGGTTGGCGGTGAAACAGAGACAACATATGCAGTCCCAATCAGCCGTTGTTCTGAGACTTGTCTGACTTTTTTAAGCAGGTATGTTAAGCTAATATTAGCGGATAAGACTACGATTATGATTCGTTAATTTTGGGTAAAGGGTTTCAAAGTTTGGACAGCGAATTATGGCTTTAGGACTAGCGTGTAGGCTAGAGTTTTAAATTCACGTCTGTTTCTTTGGTTTTAAGATACTAAGTTTAGCTTTAAGGGTTCATATCAGTTCAGGAAAGCGAACATAATTGGTCCTATACTGACTAATAATTCATAGATGTCATGTGTCGCAGGGTGGAACATGGTCCGTTCACGTGAACACGCAGGACGGCTTCTATGCTAGGTAGTAACTTGAATTCACCACTTAAGTGAAACAATTTTTTGTCCAAATATCCTCCACTTTTTTTTATAGTCAGCTACTGTTTACTTTTCAGTACATACTATTCTTAACTCCTCGGTATTTTAGTTGCATTTACCTTTGTTTCGGTTTGTCGGCTGTCTATGACATTTTTTTTAACGACACGCGCTCGATTTTTCATTGGACGTTGATGCACTCAAAAAGGATAATGGTGCAGCTGCGATTCGTGTGCAGTCCACCGCTTCCTTTAACGCCATCCATAAGACCTATGTTACCACCATTCTCGTACAGCAGATGCCCTTGATTCTCGTTTTATCAGTAGGGCTACATAGGATATCGTTGCCGGTGGATGCTAAACATGAACAGCCCGAACGATGTATTTCACCGCTGTCTTTCTTGTAGGCAAACCGCCTCTTCTGGTGCCCCTGGCCTGTTGCCTCATCCTCGGCATTGGACTGCTCTGCATCGTCCTCATCTGCTT